CACGTGCAACCAAAATTAAATCCGGTCTTTGCAAGATTTAAATTTAACAATGAAATTCAAGGCTCCAGGACAATAGACCAATATGTGACTTCATTGAAACTCTTAGCCAAGGACTGTCTCTTCAAAGACGAAGATGAATTCCAAAGGCAGATCGATGAGAGTTTTGAAGGTTTAAGTGATATTGTTTTGATTTGTGACGATATACTAGTATTTGGACGCACACGCGACTAACATGATACAAACTTGAGAATTATTCTCAAACGTTCCCTCGAAAAAGGAATCCGGCTAAATGAGGAAAAACTAGAAGTGGGCGTCACAGAAGTTCAGTACTTCGGGCACATTCTGTCAGCAGAAGGTCTCAAACCCGACCCCGCCAAAGTAGCAGCGGTAAGAGAAATGGAACCCCCTCGTGACCGCGCGGAGTTAGAAACCATTCTTGGCATGGTTAACTTCTTGTCCAAATTTGCCCCAAAATTGGCAGAGGTCACAAGTCCACTAAAACAACTGTTAGCGAAAGACGTAGAGTTTTCATGGGACTCTCCTCAAATAGACGCATTTCAAAAGGTCAAAGACATAATTACTATAAGCCCTTGACCTGTTCTGTCCTATTTTGACCATAAGAAACCACTGACTTTGCAAGTTAACGCATCAAAATATGGGCTGGGTGCCGCCCTAATGCAAGATGATAAGCCCGTGGCTTATGCATCAAAATCCTTGACCACAACTGAGATTAATTACGCTCAGATAGAGAAAGAAATGTTTGCTATACTGTTCGGATGCAAACGGTTTCATCAATATGTATACGCGAGAAAGGTACACGTTCAAACTGACCACCTTCCACTTGTCTCTATAATGAAAAAGTCCCTCTATGCAGCCCCACCGCGACTGCTACGCATGCTTTTGCAACTACAGCGTTATGACCTTGAGGTAAAACATTACCAAGGTAAGAACATACCCGTAGCAGATACTCTCTCCCGTAAGTTCTCATCGGATACATACCCTATCTTATCTGACGGTATAGATATGCAGGTGCATATGGCGTTATCAGCATTACCTGTATCTGATCATAAGAAGGAACAAATTTAATCTCTCACTGAACAAGACCCCAGATGATCATACTGAAACAGGTCATAAGTGAAGGTTGGCCTAAAAAAGGTCAAGCTGTCAATCAGAGAAAATTGACCGTTGGAAATATAGAGATACGCTTTCAGTTGTAGAAGGGTTAATCTTGAAAGGCCACAAAAGTCATACCACAAGCCCTCAGGCAGAAAATGCTAGAAACTGTACATTCAAGACATTTAGGTATTGAAAAGTGTCTGAAAAGAGCCAGAGATGTTTTGTTTTGGCCAAGAATCTCAGCCGACATTTCCGATTTAGTGTCAAAATGCTCTGTCTGCTTAGAGCGCAGAAGCTCTAACCAAAAATGGGAACCTGCCGTAGTAGTAAGAAAACACAGCGAAAGGTCATATACAGTTCGCACCAAAGATGGTACCATTTATCGTTGCAATAGACGTTTACTCCTGAAAACTAATGAAATACCACCACCGCCCTCCCCTCAGATTGAACAAACATCTTGTACAGTTGCATCACCACTCCCCGCAAATGCCAGTAAATCAATTTCAAAGTCAATGGAATCTAAATGTTTCAGCCAAAGTACGCCTGAGCCTGACGCAACGGTCTCATGGGTTCGTCCGCAAGGCGGATTTTACACGTTCTGGGAGGCTAGTGAAACCAAAGATAAGAGTGTCAGTATAATATCAGTTCCAAACACCTGGACATAACCTGGATATGAAACAACTGTAAAATCCGGCACTCCCAGTTAAAAGAGACTCAGCTAATAGAACACTCATTAGTGTAGCACATTGGATGGTTTTGTTGATAAACACTGACGGTGATTCAAGATAAGGACCATCAGTTTACATTAAATATCTATCAAACAAGCAATACGATTTCTTAAAATTGTATAATGCCTTCTCAGTCTGTCTCAGACATGTGTACGTAGTTAATTGTAATCATTGATATCAAAGACGCGCTTAATTCTGATATGTTAATTATAATGGCTTATGCTTCATTTAGTTTGTTAAAAGTTTTATTAAAACTTTTTCTTTGTAAGAAGAGAGATGTAACATTATACATGTGTGACTGACCAATCAGCACTCTCTGTGTATGAGTCATAGTTCCACTAGTACTATCTACAGGCACTGCCTCTCTGATAACTCTCGGTGTTAAGACTTCACAGTAGTCACTTGTATATATTAAAGTTATTGATAGTTAGAACACGGCGTCTCTTATTATTTTTAACACAATATATATATATATATATATATATATATATATATATATATATATATATATATATATATATATATATATATATATTTATATAGATAAAGAATATATATATATATATAACAGTATATATATATATATATATATATATATATATATATATATATATATATATATATATATATATATATATATATATATATATATGTGGATATGCGAACTAGTTGCGTTTTCCAAAAACATACCAATGCATCAGATACGGGCTGGGTGAGTATCGAACCCGCTATCCTTACATTATTAGTCCTACACTGTACCAAACTATATAGTGTTGCTAATTTTGAGGGGAAAAAGTAAATCGTGCTCGGCTACGTTCAACTTATTTAATAATTTCATTTTTGACGGTGCATGAAAATATCGGGCGAGATAGATGACGTTATAACGTCACACATCCTTACTGATGATGTAGATTACTTGACGATAACGTATAGGAGAACATAATGTTTAATGCCATCCAAATGTTAAGAAAATGAACGAGATTTTAAAAAAATAATACGCATAACTTTTGTATGTAAAAATACATATTATGTTAACGATTTCCATAAGCCGTTAGCAGCAGAGGAATCACTAGGGTTGGTGCCACCATCACCCCGGCTCTTTTTTCTGCACACAAATTTAATATATATTATAGACAGTCTTGTGCGGTAAGTCATTGTGTCACACCCATGGACCCCCTAACTGAACAATTTTTTTGTTATAGACAATCATATTGGTGTCACCTCCTCTGATGGTGTCACCAGGTGCGGTCCGCACCCACCACCCACCCTCGCACCCCATAGTGACGCCACTGGTTAGCAGTAGTTAAGAAATTTGTGAGTCGGCTACATGAAAATAACTTGGCCACCCGGGTTATCAGAATATATATATATATATATATATATATATATATATATATATATATATATATATATATATATATATATATATAGAGAGAGAGAGAGAGAGAGAGAGAGAGAGAGAGAGAGAGAGAGAGAGAGAGAGAGAGAGAGAGAGAGAGAATAAAGTCTTCATATTTAATAGAAAAGCAAATTTTGACATTTGACCATAATCAGTCGTTTGCAAAATGTTGAAATACTAACTTCATGACAAATTTATAATTTTACAGAGCAAAGGATCCAAGCAATCCCCTTCCACCCAACACCCACCCCACTCTGTCCGAACATAGGGAAAATGACTAGCTTTTTCATGATAAAAATCTTGTTCTAATAAATCGACTTTTTCATTGAGAAATAGTTTTTCATGAAAGAATAGTTTCATTAAGAGTTTTACTTTTTTGTTCAAACACGTTTTTTGATGAAGGCTGCAATATTTTCAATAAAAAAAATAAACTTTTCATGAAACTTTTGGTGTGGTGTGGTGTTTATGATTTTTAACGTAGCTTTAACAATTTTGTTTAGTCATATCGCTACGATGTCTGCAGTGTGGCAGTTTATAGTGATGTCTAGCACTGGCGCATCATGCCGCAGACATGTAGCATAATGTCCCACACAGTCACGTTATCCTGACACCAGACTGACCAGTACTAACACTAACCTCTTAATGCTGAGCGTCAAGCGAGGCAGCTGTTAGTACCATTTTTGTAAGTCTTTGGTATGACTCGACCGGGGATAGAACCCACGACCTTTGCATCCTAGGCGAACGCTCTAACCACTAGACTTAATTTGGTAACAATTGTTTGCGTTCTCCGTGAAAAGTATATTACTATAAATATTAATTAAAAAGACACGTTTTGGGAATGAAAGTATCCATTAAAGTGTACATACACCGTGAAGACAGCATTAATAGCTACAATCATTTAATACCCCCCCCCCAAAAGTTACATTTTTCTTAAAAAAATGAAATGTTGATAAAAATGTTTTCAAGGAAAAAATACATGTAGAGGAAAATGTAGTTGCTACGATAAAAAAAAGTGTAAATGAGAGAAAAGGTGATGTCTTGATAAGGAATGACGTTTTTTCAGGAATAAAGGTCGTTACACGTTTTTTTCGTAAAATCTTCATTTTAAAAAAAATGTGTATTTTTTAATACAAAAAAAGGACAAGAATCTTTAGGAACACTGGTTGTTTTTTATGGAGAAAGATGGCTCATCAGAACAAGATTCTTCATTACATATCTTAATGATTGACTTGTAAGGCCAGGGTACAATCTTTAAACGAGAAAGCGATTACAGTATTCGCAACACAATCTTGATGATCAAGATTGATTCTTATCAAGAAATGGGATTTTACAACATAAATATACTTTTTTCCCCTTCAAAATCACTACCATAATGACAAAAACGACAGTGTATATAAGCTTGTGCGATCGCAAGATTTTTTGCTTTGGTGATGGTGGTGGGGGGTCAGTCACGGCCGGGATAGGTAATACCGTAAGCAGTCTTAAACGAAAGCTAATATTTACTAAGAGCTTCGAACATAATCGTGTGACATATTTTAAGCTTCAATTGCATGATTAAACGTGTTATATATATATATATATATATATATATATATATATATATATATATATATATATATATATATATATATATATATATATATATATATATATATATATAATTTCCATGGGGTCACGTGACTCCCTTGACCTATGCTGCGGGCGCATTTGTGTGTGTGTGTGTGTGTGTGTGTGTGTGTGTGTGTGTGTGTGTGCTATGTCTCACATTGTAGGACCTAGTGGTTAGAGCGTCCACCTCGGATGCAGGAGGTCGTTGGTTCGATCTCCGGCCAAGTCATACAAAAGACTTAAAAATGGTAATAACAACTGCCACGTTTGGCGCTCATCATTAAGAGGTTAATGTTAGGACTGGGGCTTGATAATCCAAATCACACAAAATCAACGTCTAGTAAAAAAAAATATCCTTGCAACAGTCGCATTCTACTAGAGGCTTTTTTCTTTTTTAGGTACGAGACTGAACCCAGTCGAAGGTAACATGAGAATGGTTTACAAATGTTTTGTACTGCCTGAGTGCATTCTGGGAAAATGGCACCAAATTCAAAACAAAAAAGATGGCGACGATAGGAGAGGTAGACCTTTCGCTAGGAAGTCCTTTTCTTTTTACACGTTCTGCACCTCTTCAAGACTCAAAACATAATAATGGTATATTATATCAACATAAATGTATTAGTTAAAAACAGAATTTTACATTGAATCAGGAGATCTGAACCGTTTAAATGATTATTAATAAAGGGGGTAGGGTGTCTTGCTGTTGCGTATAACGATCACTCATCCATGTAAAATGTAATAAAAATATACAAAGAAAAGTAAATTATACTCACTGTTTGAATATTAATTAATAATAGTTCTTCTGCTAGGCATCACTCTATACTTGGCGTTCAATTTGGTAACTTCACATTTTATTCCATTAATTTCAAATTCTACTGTATAGCCCTCATTGAGTTATACCGACTTAAGATTATACATTTGGAATGTGTCAAAAATTTTAAAACGGTCGTAGCCAATATTGATTTAATTTTTATTATTTAATAATGGATCGGAGTTAGATTGCAAGGTATACTGTAAACAGGGCTGGCGCCTGGCAATATGGCGCCAGTGCTAAGCGGATTTTGGCCACCCCCACGCCGACCCTATTTAGATTAAAACTTGGGGACGTGTAACAAGAACGCAAATATAATAGCAGAGAACTCTACGCCAATACTAGTGGTTTTACGGAAAATACCATTACAAAGCATAACTTTGAGAACTAATTAATTGCAATTGACATGGTTGTGAGTTCAGTCAATTAACTTGTAAGTAAATCTCTTCCTAATATAACGTTGTACAGCTAAAAATATTTATTTGTTGTTTTCTGCAGTTAACAAGGTTGCGGGATAATACTATTTCAATCATAAGAGGGAAAGAGAGTGTGTATATGATTTGGAACAGTATAGAATAAAGCATTTTACAATCACAATTTCACAGAAAAAATATTTATTAGATACATGATTCATATATGTCATAATTTAAAATACTACAATTTGTTCTTAGCCTAGCATGCATGATATGAGATATTCTGTCACCTGTATTGTAGTAACAAGGCATGTTTTATTGCAATTAAAAAATTATGAATTGAAGGGTTGTTTCTTACTTAAAGGTGCAACAAGTTCCTATCTGAATCATAGAAGGTAAAAATGAATTGTAGAGGAATAGTTTGCTCTTGCCCTAACTGTAATTATCACCAGTGGTATAAAACCTACTGGCATGCTAAAGTAACAATGTGTTACAGCTGCACAAACTTTATTTTCTACTTGTATTAATGACTAGTGAAAATAATTATTGCAGCACAGGTTACATAGATTTTCTCACATGTGTACACATTTAGTAAAATAAGAAAATGACTAATACAAGTATGAATGTGTAAAATAATAAAATGATAAGAAATAAGAAAAAATATTTTCTCAAAATGTGTTCTCAGGGTGTAGAATGAAGAAGTATAAACAGCTGATTCAACTGAAACTCGTATAAATGGATGTTTTCATGACTTGTATCTAGTCTACTGGTTAATATAGATGTAATAATTTTAGAGTTGCATTATATTTAAAGTTAGGAGCAACATTTTACCTAATTATTAATTTTGATTGTTTCATTTTGTAATTAAAATTTGGAATGAATTCTTTACTTTGCCCCTTTGCAAAGAAAAAACCCAGCTGATGAGTTGATCAATTCATATAGACCAGTGTCTTTTACTTAATGTACAGGTAATCCATTTCAAGAACACAGGCTTTCAGCAAGCAAAACTTGAACCCGGTTCTAGAGTCCATAAATTATCGGAAATGGAAGCAGTAAGCTGCAAACTATTTGAAAATCTTATTGCTTAATTCCTCAATTTCCTCACCTTTGTTCATTTTCTTTTGATCTGTGGTAAATTTGTTTGAATAGGTCTTAAAGGTCAATTAGCTCTGTTTTCTCAAGGGTCATGAATTACTGCAGGGTGTACCTCCTGGCTGTTAATTAACACCTGTTGTAATTGTCTTCACCCTTGAATAGGCAGGTTTGAGTTGCTCCAAGCTGTCAGTAAGCTTGTTATTAGGTAAGTGGTTCCAGACCTAGATTATAATCCAAGCCACCACCTTAAAAGAGCTCTTACTCTGTCTGCAAAGCTCTGATTGGTTTATTCCAATCTTTTGGCTGGAGAATATTATAAGCCTTCCTTCATTTTTACCTCACCTGTTGAGCATACAACTGGTCATATATGTTTATAGATTCTTCTCTGCAAGCAGGATTTTGTTAGACCTCACTACTTGAACTTCTGCTACAATGTTGAGACACAGAAGTAACAGTATGCTCTTTTTCTATCCTTTATCTATTCTTTCTTTCCTAATTTCTTGTGTGTTTTTTTTTTTTAAATTTTTCTATCTTTCTCTATGACTGATCTCCATTCTAATTTGCATTGTCTCTTATAATGATGATGATTAGAGGTTGTTTGTATTGTACTGTATGTCCAATGCTAGATATAGTGTTAGGTGGTGTTAATCTGTTAGTCTTTGGTAAGGGCTAATTCTGGTAATCTTGTCTGTCTATCCATCCTCTTGTCTATGCAGTTTAATGTTCAAATGGTAAAGTCTCATTAGAGGGCACTCCATTAGAGCTTATCCCACTAGAGCGCCAAAAGACAAACACATTTGTTAACTGTATTTTTATATTTATTTTAAATTTGAACTTTCATAGTTTTCAATTCAAATTTTAATAGTTTCAAATTTAAAATTTACTACAATTAATTATAATAACTCAGATTATGGCGACAAACACATTTGTTTACTGTAACTTTATATTTATTTTAAATTTAAACTTTCATAGTTTTCAATTCAAACTTTAATAAAGTTTCAAATTTAAAATTTACTACAATTAATTATAATAACTCAGATTATGGCGACAAACGAATTTGTTAACTGTAACTTTATATTTATTTTAAATTTAAACTTTCCTAGTTTTCAATTCAAACTTTAATACAGTTTCAAATTTAAAATTTACTACAATTAATTATAATAACTCAGATTATGGCTAATACCAGTTATCATTTCAATAGCATTTATGCTCCCATCCTTATATTTCAGCGCCTCACTGAGCTGCACTCAAGTGGGATGCGCTCTAGTGTGACCATATCATTCAAATAGGCTTTCAAACCAGCAAGATATGCTTGTTTCATTTGGAAGTTATTATGTTAATTTATTACTGATTTTCATTAAGATTTGTCAAGTGTTTTATAAAATTAATATGCAAATACTTTCACCCCCATTTTTACAGAATGAAATATTTATGGATACCAGGATGTTTGGTCTAGGTTACTTTGTTGCTACCTGTACATTGTTTCAAAAACCTACAGTCCATTCATTAGATGGGTATTCATTTTGTAATTTATTTGTTAGTACTTTATTCAGGGTTCTTGCCGGTCATGGAATCCAGGAAAAGTTTTGGAATTTAAAAAATAAATTTTAAGGGCCTTGAAAAGTTATGGAATTTATCAAATCCTTGCAAAGTTTTGGAAAAGTTATGGAATTTTTGACAATGGAGTTAAAGAAATTAATTACTTCAAATTTCATAGAGCACCAAGAACAGAATAAATAAAATGCTAAAATTACAATCAATAAATGGTTTCAATTCATATAACAAGAGTAAGTTCCCCTAATGGAAGTATCACATGATTTCCAGTGTAGTTCACTAAATAAAAAAAAGCAACTGGAAAGTAATGTGTTTTGTTAATATTGTAAATAGGAACACATACAAAGACTGCATAGGATTGTTTCCTTTTTTCTTTTGAATACAAATTGCATTAAACATTGGATTATGACAAAAATTACTACATAAAGTCAAAGTGTGCTATCCCAGGTAAATTTAAAATGTACATATTAAAAATATTTGTTGTTAACTTTGTTATTTTAAATTGAAAGATGTCGTTTTTTATGTTCATTTACTTGACAATGCAAGATAGTGCGGTCCTTGAGTTTTATGAAATGGCCCTGGAAAAGTTTTGGAAAAGTCACGGAATTTGTTTTTGTTAAGTGTGCAGGAACCCTGTTTATTTTATGAATTAGGGAAAGAATCTTATTGTTTCCATGAAATAATTGTTATTTATTGGGTCTTTCAGATCAATGTCTATAATTATACATGACAGTATTCCTTCAAAACAGATACACCATGAAAAATGTAAATGAAGTCAGAAAAATTTCTGAATCAAGTAGACTAATTATGAATGCCTTTTAGGAAACAAATGAAGTCTTACAGGTAATAGTTGCCTTTTTTTTATGCCCCTTTTCTGGCCCAAAAAGTTAGTCAGTCAAGTTCTTTTGCCAGTGGCCCATCAAATGAAAATTTTTAGAGTTTGTAATTTGCCAAATCTTAAATATTGCTAACTTTTTTTTATAGGTGGACACAAAAGTAAGGTTTTATGTTTACATCTATGCATTTTGTTAAGGAATACTCTGTACATTTTATTTTGTAGGTCCATTTCGTGCGACACAAATCTGGAATGAAGTCATCCAGCACCTGAAGTCAAATGTGGAGATCAAAAGAAGACGTCAAAAGATGCGACTGCACAAGAACTGCTTCACAGGGGCTGATGCAGTGGATGTTGTGCTTCATTATTTACTGAAGGACCCGGATATGTTATGTGCTGACCCATCCAGGGACAAGGCAATGCGGGTACCCATAGTTTTCAATAAAATGAAAGAATAATCCATTTTATTTTTCAAACTGCACCATTCCTCCTGTAACTTGTGAACTTGCTTATAATGCTGGG